GTTAAACGTTTTCTTCGGAAACGTCACGTAAATTAATGAAGTGTGTTCATAAAATGATGCAAATGGTCCGATTGCTATTGTAATATCACCTCTGTGGTTATAAACTCTTGACAATGCTTTTAAAAGTAATGATACCTACGAGTATTTTAATTTACAAAAACACTATATTATTAAGACATGACAAAAATATCTTCTTACTAACAATATGTATACGATCACAAATAATATGACTTAGAATGGAATATGAATAATATAGTAATATTAGACATATTTATAGGCATAGAATTGGCCATCCATTTCTGTTCCGTGAGTATCGTAAAAAGCGACTAAGGGAACTTAATTATCAAGGGATATGCAACAGCGTCCCTTTAAAACATCACAAAAGCCTAACTGCGGTTGCCAATCCTCCTGCCAAGCGTGAAAACTACTGGTAATTCCCCTTATGGAGGATGCCTATGTACAGCAGTGGATAGTTAACGTCTGATATGATGATATCTCAATAGAGTGACAGTATAAGAATACAATATGTTACTACTTCTTTTCATCCCTAGTCGCTTAATAAAATACGCTGCGTTAATTTTTAATATAAACTGATTTAAGTACATAGTTATTTTTGTTACATTTATATATTTTATATATATTTTTTATACAACTTAGAATGGCAAACAAGCTGACGGCCCACTTGATGGAAAGTGGTAACCGTCGCCTATAGACATGAGCAGTACCATGGATATAACAAAGTACTGTTTCGCCCATGATACCCCCTATGCGTTGCCATTCCTGAGAACTCGAGTGTTATTCCTGTGTACCCTGTAAATTCACGCCATATCCCACTCTTCAAACCGAAACACAGCCATGCAAACACAACTGATTTACGATTGAAACACGAATGGGACAGAGGTACCCAAGCAAACGACTTTTGTACAAAGTCTCCCTCTGTAAACTTTCCTTCGTATATTTAAAAGATCTATTAATAAAATTCAATGCAAATAACGTATCACCTATGAATTACAACTATTTATACAGTTAGGTATAAACACCACAAATGGTTTTACCAATCCAAATTACCCATCTCTGATTATAAGCGTTGTTTTTCTACATTTTTTTTTATTATAACATGATTCAGACCGTAACCGATCTGTCTCCGGGTCATGTACCTTCGACCGCAATTAAGCACCCTTTACAATAAACTAGACTTAACTACGGGTAACATTTTATTATCCAAATTTTTAGTCAATTCGCAGAGTTCATAATAATAGAATTCTATGAAATCTTTAAACATACCACGAAATCGTAATTGATTTCGTTTAAAACAATATTAATGTAGTTAGAACTATTAAAATATAATAATAGTAACTTATTTATTCATAAATAATCGTAATATAATCTGTTTAAATAAAAATTTAATGCTTTTTTATGGTAGAATTGTTCAGTTAGCTATTCATTTATACGAGTAGGTATTAATTGAGAAAGATTATTCTGATTTGTAATATGTTTAATATTTGTAATAGTACAAAATCCAATCCTATTAATATTGTAAATGGGAAAGTTTGTTTATTTTTTATGCAACTTAGAATCGCAAGCAAGCTGATGGCCCACCTGATGGAAAATGGTAACCGTCGCCTATAGACCTGAGCAGTACGTATAACATGGACATAACAGGGTATCTTTCGCTCATGATACCCCCTATGCCCCATGCGTTGCCATTCCAAAGCACTAAGGTGTTATGTATTTGTACAAATGAATGATATTACTTTTTCACGCAAAAACTACTGAACGGATTAAAATGAAATTTGTAACATATACCTGAAAGGTTATATTAACTTAGTATATAGGATACTTCTTGTATTAAGTGAGCAAAGCTGCAGGATACAACTAGTATGTAATAGTATCTTATTACAATAGTCCGATTAAGGTATGTAGAGTAAGATTAAAAACAAACAATTCACAGAACAGCGTCTGTCAGGTCAAATGTCATTTGCTCTTATCATCAAAATAAAACATTATAATGATTATTTCTATTAAGTATATATTTTTATCTTATTATGGCTTCGAACTTGATCCCGTCTCACCTAATGTTAAGACCTCAGATGAAACGTCCTCATCTATCAGATATATTCACCATCGTCTTGAAAAGTTTTCGATTGTTATAAGTTCCTATGATAATTTTTAGTAGATATGGCAGTCTATTATAATGTTCGTTGTGTAATTTCATTGTATATATGTGGATATTGTCTTGCTTTCCTTTTTTTACAAAACAGATTACATATACTAATATTACAAAAAGGAAAAAAAATCATATTTGTTTTGAAATTAATAAATTTAAAAACTATTCAACTGCTTTTGAAAATTCTTTCACATACAGAAAACTACATTATCAGTGAGTAACATGGGCTATATAATATTTTCGAAAATTCTATCTGCCCAAGCAAATTCGGACTAAATCATTAGTATTATATATGGGTCCTTCGCTAGGTGGAGGTAATGACACGATGACTAGTTCATATACTATAAGTACGCCATAAGACTATTTACAATTGTGCAGAGCATGTATACCTAATGCAATGGAATGCAATGCGTAAGTGAGTCATGTAGTTGCATATTCACTAAGATCTGTTTCATAGATCTATATTTAAACTTATGATGCAGATCCATTCTTTTATGGAAAATAACTATTATCTACTCGAGTTAACATTATTTTAACTGTATTTGGCATCACATTGTAACCACATCGATGTCAAATGCATGACGCATTTGATACGGTGTGATTTCAATTTGTACCAATTCGATTGAATCAAAAATCATTCAGTTCTTTCAATATTTTTGGTTTGCCAGAGCTATTTGATTGGATATCTTGAAACAAGCAAATATCTCTACGATTATGTGATCTATGACTTTGCAATATTATTTATATTAATAATTATACAAATGGCGGATTTAGAAGATTGCTATGTGTCTAAATAAAACAGCAAGATAATCCCAAGTATAGAACATCAGTTTTGAGTTCTAGTGTTGAAAGGTGCCTTAATATGCAGGGTTGCATATCTTTGATGACCACAATGAAGTTTATAGCTACAGCAATAGTTATCAACTTCCATTTAGGGAATCCTTGTATTTGTATTTTCAACTATTTGTTTCACAAACTACTCGTAGACACCTTCAATATCTTCTATTGTAAGAAACTCGATGCAACGAATGTGACATAACTTAGCAATTTATAAACCATTTCTTAAATGTAGCTAATTCAAGGAAAACTGACGTATAGTTGTGATACACTGGTGAGCACGGGGTTCTTTCCACAGAAAAAAGATATTTGGTTACTTACCATGCTGACCAGGCGCCATGATACCTAAGATTTTAAATCAGAATATTTCTTCTCTTGATACATTCTGAATTCATTCAAACTGTAATACACAGAACATTTTAGGAGTTACAATAATTCAGATTATAAGATATACCAACAAAGAAGCTGAACGCCATGTAAAGCATTAGATCTAATAATGTTCCATAGCTAAATGCATAAAATCGGCTACGATTACTGCATCCAGGCAAGCGTGTGGGTGAATATTATTGGCAGGTCCCTGACTCGACAAACAGAATAATTCTGGCATTCAATTCGCTACTTAATAATTTTTTAGTTAATATAATCTTTCGTGTAAAACATTTTACTTGAATATTCAAATTAGGTTAGTGTTTTCCAGGATTCATGCAATACATAATACAAGGAACTTACATCTAATTTTTATCACTACGTTTTTATATCAATAAGTATATATAAGTTTGTAAAGATATTTTCGAAATTCATATAAGGCGTACATGGATTTAAATTAATTTTGTTACATACATGAACTATATTCAAGATTAATATAGGTTAATTTTCAGATAAAAACTTAGAATATTCGATAGTATGTATTATAAATAATTTCACAACTTCAGATAATATAGTTTCTTTAGTGTGCGATTATAACTCCCAAATTCATCCATTGTTTTCAATGCGATTTTGTTTATTTGAACACTGGTTTAATCGAAAAGTAGAGGTTTTAATTTAAATTTATCATATATCTATAGAGATTGCATACATAAAATCTTCACTTTTGGATAAACATCTGACCAGAGTAAAAAAACTGGTCAAGTTTTGAACTGATTTAGGACTAATAAAATAAATTCTTATTGTGAATAGGAGGCTTTAGTCCGCTCTGGATGCAGGAAGGCTCCACAAATAAAATATGTGACTTGAAGGCGACTCCGAGGTGCCGGCGAGATGAGGCTGCGTAGGCTAGTGGGAAAGAGATAATTGATGCGATTTCAGTACGTGTGAGAGAGATGGGCAAGCAAGCTTGGCTATCTGGAGAAACGCGAGCACCTCATTTAATCGGTACGCGTTTCGTTTTACAGAATAGGGGAAATTTTGCGATGTTTTAGATAAGGTACTTTTATATGTGCGTGTTTGCTGTTAAACCGATATTGTTATTGGATCGTTTGTACGAAACATCGGTAGTAAAAAAAAACGTTGAACATTGATTTGATGACTTTTGGATGGCGATATATCCATATACTGATCCGCATATTAACTGAAACCTTTACTTTTATTTCAAGTTAGCTTCCAATTGTGATTTTGTCTGCTTGTATTTCAGAATTAGATTCAGATATAAATTACTGGAATGAGAAAATTTCTAAATAGTTATTTTCAAAACGGTTTATTATTTTATTTATTTATTTACTTTTTTGCCGATAAACTATATAATAATACAGTTTATACATACATATGTAATACTTATACTTGTTTATGTGTGTGCTTGTCTTTTACTAAATCTGTTTTGTAGGCCTGATTGAGTAATAGATATCTTCATAAATTATGAAGCCTTTTGTGACACACTAGTCAATGTTCTATTGTGTAAACGAGGTTCCAAAACAAGAACAAAACTAGCTTCGTCAACATCTGACAGTTTCGGGTGGTCTTTAGTTTTAAACGCTTACAAACAAAAGTACTTTACTTCCAGATGCCGACGGCTCAGCGCAGGTTACATATTGTTATAAACCCACACTTGGATGGTCAGTGCGTATTATCCGACCGAATGGCGATACAAGAGGACTACATCAAATCACCATTAAATGTCCAGTAACATGCCGCAGTAGGATTATATTTAATGCTACGTACTGGGAGAAGATCGATACGATCTCTGTCTATACGTAGGTTACTTTTATTTGATGTGAAAGATTTTAAATGTTGTACGTCGGCAATAAAATCAGGTATGTAAGTACTATTTACTTGTAATCCCGTGACGTTAAGTTAATTTAAATAGATGTAGTCGTTTTTATCATGATAGAAAGTCATAGTTACTTTGTGGTGTCAGCAGAGAATAGGTCACCCCTTCCTTTTCCGTGGGTGTTGTAAGAGGCGACTAAAAGAATTTAATGGGTAGTAGCGTCCCTCCTAAAACATCACCAAAGCCTAACTATGGTTGCTAATCCACCTGCTAAGCGTAGCAACTACTGGTGAAATCCCCATTTTGGAAAATGCCCATGTTCAGCAGTGGACAGTCGACTGCTGATATGAAGATGATGATGATGATGATTATGATGATAATGATAGCCTTAACCTACATATTAGGTTTACAGTGGCGAGTACATACCACTAATGGATTTTAGTTGAGGGTGGTATCATATCAATGACTCATCGTGACAAATTCATCAGCAATTAAACTACGATGGTTTCCAAAGACGACCGAGTGAAGGTCGATCTGGCGTTGCTAGCAATGGTGCCATTGATCGTTATACTAACAATCATTTCTACAATAACGTAGTTAGTTATAAGATTAAAATTTTGATAAATAATACTTGATATCTTGCATATCAATCTATAATTCTACTATTGATCACGAATCGCAGTTATGGAGTATCTGCTTTTCCCATAGAAAAAACATAATATTTGGAAGAAAGTAAAATCCTACCTCTAAGTGGTGGGGTGAGAGGAAAGGGATTGTTAGTAATGCGAATTATTAGTCCCTTTGCTAGTAATATACGCTGTTAGGTCGACCTCCACGTGCTCCCTCCTGGTAACCATCGTGCTGAATCCCCGGTGTATTCAACGCTATGGGTTAACTGACTTGCTCTTCATTCTCACCTAATACCCGTCACTTGTGCCCCGCCAGCGTATACTATTAGCGCAGGAGGGATTACCATTTCATTACTATCCATTACCCTTACCCTTAAGTTCACCTCGGTTGGGTATATGATCTTAGTTCCTTAACTTAAAACAATAAAATTTATTTTTTTTATAATATAATAAATTTAAATTTTTAATAAATTAAAAGAAATAAATATAATATAATCATATAATCGCAGTCTGGTATGTTGTCATTGACGTAAGTACCAAATTAATTGTTCTTCAGACTATTTTGTGCAGTATTGACGTAAGCGTGGTTTAAGACTATTGTTAACCATATGACATTAATGCGACATCTTCATTAAATAAACAAATTATTTACCTCGTTTTATTTTATATTATGTAGGTACTTTATGGATTGGTAATTTGAAATTTAATGTTATAAAAATTGAATATGAAATATAAGTCTAAAGTTCGATTTTAACATTGAAGATTTATTATTCAGCAAAATGCTGATGATTCAACATTTCAGCCATTATCCATCCACTGCTGGCCATAAGCCTCCCCCATAGACTGCCATAAAGAACAGTCCTGAGCCACTTGCTCACTTGCCACTGATCGTCTCTCCAACTAGTGGGGGGTCGTCCTACACTACGTTTGCCCGTACGCGGTCGCCATTCAAGAACTCTTCTTTCTGCTGTGCTGATGATTATACATTATTATTATTTGTACAGTAACGACACTAACGATGACTTGAACTAAATTGTAATATAGAAAGAGGGTCTGCTTGAGAATAATATTGGGAGGAAGGTATTGTTAAGTACATAATAAGGAATTTAGTATCTTTTTGTAAATTAATCGGTTTATGAAAAACAAAAATACGTTTCCATACCAATCATATAATATAATTAATAATTTAATTCGAGTCAAGTAAAATTAACAAAATTAATAAATCATTAAAATCTGTACAATATAAACAAAGATAAACAATTTATAGTGGTATTAAAACCTCCATTTTTACAAAGTTCATACCTATATATACACAGAAGATTAATTCTAAAAGTAAGTAATTAGGTGTCTAAAATAATTAACACTTTTAATTATGAACTTATTTACTTACATAATCTATAATATATATATATATATATATATATATATATATATATAAAACTAATATACTTCTTAGAATCACAAAAAAGCACAAAAAAATGGGATCAGGAACTCCCATTCATGATCCGTACCCGACCCAAAGGTCCCCATGACACTTGCGGCATTTCCGCGTTGGATTGCCAGAGATATCCTTTGAGCCAGATACGAACCAGAACGGCGATCATGGCCCCTATCCGCAATGCGCAGACTCAACTTTCTTATAAAGGATTTTGGCTTCCGCTCCCCACACGCCCGTAGTTTCAAAAGCAACGGGAACGAAGATGTAAGCTGGTTCGAGAATCTTATATTTTGAATGTTTGATTCCAGCCGCAGTTTTCGCGGCCGATCCAACTACAAGAATTGTATCCCGCAGATGAGACACAGCGAACGTGCTCACACAAGTTGCATCCCATATCAAACAGCGCCTCCAAGGCACCAAAGTTAGACCATCAGGCCGTTTCCCATCCGACCGATTCAGACCAGGTGGCTCCAGTACACAAGGGATATCACTACTGCGCATTGCCCTTCGAATGATATCGTTGATAGCATGATGTCTAGGAAACCTTCCAGCTCACCTTAAGCAACTCAGTCCGTGATGACCTATGTAATCCACAAGTTCCCCACAAATGCACCGATGCTGTTTACAAATATTAATAACATCCCAATCTGAGTCCCACTGCAATCCGCAAAGAGTTGTCGTACGTACACTTTTAATATAATCTATGTTTTTTTAACTGTACTATATAAGATGTAAACTTGTACAGATGTTGCAAGGAGTATTAAAAAATGTTATTGTTAAAATCAAATTGAAGCAAGCCAAAGTAAGCACTTTGATTGTTATTCAATTTCTTTATAAACAGGTTACTTAGTGATGAAGCAAGCAGACGATATACGTTTAAGATTTCGTGTGTGGCATATGGTAAACGTACAGAGAAAAAAATTAAGACATATAGTACTAACTTTGCGAGGACATTCTTTAGGTAAAAATCCATTGCTTGATTTACTGGTAATGCTTCAATGGATCACAGAACATAATCACCAATGTATTGAAATTTTACAAAATGTGTATCAATTAAAGTGATTTTAGGTAGATAGATATTTGTACCGAACGTCGCCAACCTTGCGACAGCGCACTTTTTTTCCATTTTTAAGGACACACATTGCCATATAACAACATCAAAGATCCTTCTGTCATGTTTTTATTGTTCCTACCTGTGGATTTAGCTTTAGTTCTGAGTGCACATTTGTCACAATTACAACCTTGTATCAAGGTCAAATATTTTTATTTAGAGTGACAACTCTAGACAAAAATATTTGACCTAAAAATATACCTATATATATATATATATATATATATATATATATATATATATATATATATATATATTAATTAGGTGTATTTTATTCGTATATTTATTTTTTTATATATTATATTCGTATATCATAATTAGCTAAAAATTTTAGTATTTATGATAAATTCTTACACATTTCTAAATTATAAAGAGTAAATACATTAAAAAATATATATATTTATGCATATTTCAACATATATTTTCATTTTCCTGTCTTTGTTAATGAGATTGCATACAGACTGAATACAGCAAACGACGATATACGTGTTATGCACTTATTGCATTATAATTAATTATGTTTAATAAACATGTACTTGGATTTGTTCAATTCTATTCAAAATAAGTAAATCTATAATTATAAATGCGTTACAGATACACAGTTCTTTATCATGTCGTACGACAATAAGTTTGTGAAACATTATTATAGCCTATTAATATAAAAAATAAGTATGTACAATTTTTTTTTATTATATCTATTATATAAACATAGCTTAAATAGTAAAAAGATTTTTTGTGAAATTGAAAGGACGAACGAAAATTTTATTGTTATTTACATATACATATCTACACTCCAAGTCACGTCCCTTATTGTGTAGACGCAGCAATTCTAATACAATTAAACAATAATATTTTACTCTATACCACAGCATTATAAATAATAAAAATGAGAAAACATGAGGTAAATATTTTAATAGGATAATTCTTGTTCAAGAAGCGAGTGCCACTTTATTCGCAAGCCTGGCACTGAGAAGATCGTAAGTCGCGATTCTATGTATATTCCCTGGGAGTCTGCCCGGGGTCAAAGCGTTCCCTCGGGCTGGAGGCAAACCAGTTCCTGCATTTCAATATATTATATATGCGGCCTGTTTATTTATAATAGACAATTTATTACACCTAGGATTCTTGGCGTCATATAATATTGGATAATTATTTCTTGTCTAAATCGTGAACCGTTCACGTATTTGAATAATATATTGACCTTCATCATCATCATCATCGTATCAGCCATTAACTGCCCATTGCTAAACATAGACCTCTCTTTTAAGGGGGGGGGGGGGGGAGTTGCCAGTAATTGCCACATTTGGCAGGTGACTTGATCTGGGGTATTTGAATTTCTTGTAATTTGTTAAGTAAAATCAATTTTTTTTTGTGATTATGTATGTCAGCTCTATTCATTTTTTAATTACGGGACGATCAACTAATTTCGAATTCAATTGGAGCCCTTATTTATTTTTTGTCGAGATTATAAAATGTAATTTTTAATTATAGAATTTACTAATACATCGATACTACGAATACATAGTTTATACACTGCCATTTAGTATGATGATTATTCTATCACTGGTCAGTTTGTTTCTTACAACTGTTATTTTTAATGACCTCTAATTATCTCAAACATATTAATATGACAATAATGACTACTTAATAAATTGCCAATACTTATTATTAAAGAAATGTACGAGTATGTAAACATCGAAAGTATGAAGAACAACTTCTAAGAGGTCAGATAATATCATGACCTAGTACTCTGATAGTAATTAATTTATACTAATTATGTATTTGTAGGTTACAAATTAGAAACCGTATAACTTTTCATCATAGTGAAAATAAAGTACCAATGACAGTACAAGGAATGTCACGAG